ATTCAACCAAAATATTATCAAAAAATGAACGTGTCATTAGCCTTTCAGGTTTGTAAATAATTTATTTTGTACTGTACTAAGTATTGCACCTTCATGTTACATAACAATTATTATATTAAAGAAAATTGTTTCTGTTTCTTATATGTTACAGTTCTTTGGAATGTCGGAAATCTTTGAACTATTTAAGGATTATCATAAGGATCTAAGAGACTGTGAAGGAAACATAAAATTTTGCCGTAGGATGAAAAATCTCATTCACGCTATGAACAGTCGAACTCCAGTATCAGCTCTGGCATGTGGAAATGACAGTTGGAAAGTACATCGATAAATATAAAAATAACTACTTGTTTTGAATTAATAATATATCACAGATATGTCAAAAATAAATATATTTCTGGGAAATATGCTTACAAATTTTCTTATAGGTAATATCAGACTTTATTCCTTACTTGGAAGAATGGTAACGCACCTGTGTCGAGAAAGGATTGCAATTTATGTCAACGAATTCCTATTACGGGTTATTAATTTCATTGAAAGCCACTCTGGAGATTTGCACTTTTCTCGTTCAGGAATGTAATTTTAAATATATCATGACAGCAAGACTGAACCAAGACAGCTTGGAGGTATGTAAATGCATAACATAAAAAACTTTACATGTACAAGTCGCATAATTAGGGCATATATTAGTCGAATATATTAAACTCCGAATACACTACTCAACAAAATTAAAGGATCACTTGTTCCACCCTGCAAAAATAGGCAAACTTTGAGATAGAATAACTTCGTCAAAAATCATCGTATCGAGATGTTTAAAAAAGTATTTTAAAGCTTGAAATCTCTACTTTTCAGACCTATACTTCAAAAAACGGTCTTACTGATATTTCGTGAAGTTGCACAATCATAAATAAAAGTGTGTCAAATCTAAAAAATTTTTACAAAATTTGCCAAGTTCCACGGAGCCAAGTAAAAATTGTGCACAAATGCGATTTACATCACTTAAAAGAGCGAATCTTTAATTTGCTTTTTTACAAAGCTCCGTACGATTTTTTTTCACCGAGTTATTTAACGTTAAAAATGGCCTTTTTATTTCAACGTTGAATAACTCGGTGAAAAAAAATCGTACAGAGCTCAACAAAAAAGCAAATTGAAGGTAAAGATTCACTCTTTCGAAAGCTGTAAACCGCATTTGTGCACAATTTTTACTTGGCTCCGTGTAACTTGGCAAATTTTGTAAAAAAATTTTAGGTTTGACACACTTTTATTTATGATAATGCAACTTCACGAAATATCAGTACGACCGTTTTTTGAAGTACAGGTCTGAAAAGTAGAGATTTCAAGCTTTAAAATGCTTTTTTAAACATCTTGATACGATGATTTTAGACGAAGTTATTTTATCTCAAAGTTTGCCTATTTTTGCAGGGTGCAACAAGTGATCCTTTAATTTTGTTGAGTAGTGTATTTTATCTTGATAGTATTGTTAGAACATTTACATAATTATTTACGTTTGAGTGAAGTAATAGAAATAAAAAAATGTTCTTTATTTTCTATTTTCGTAGCGCTTCTTTGGTATGATGCGGGAGAGCTGCGGTTCAAACGATCATCCTGATTCCAAGGTTTTTATTCAAATGTATCGGTTAATTTCAACATATTCCCTTGTGGAGCCACCAAAAGGGTGTAATGTATCCGGAGTTAATGTATTCAAAGCTCTTTTAGATATGAAAAATATGGAAAACCACGTTGATTATAGACAACAATGGGAAGCACGAATAGATTCTATCCTTGATTCAGGATGTGGATCAGATTGTCTTTCTGATGCAGTATCATTAATCGACCATAATTACTATCAGTCTGATCCATGGGAATATGGAATTGCTTATATTTCATGATATATTGCTCGAAAAGGATTGCGATTTGCAAAATTTGTAACTCTGAAAAAAGAAGAAGTATGCAAAAATTGTCAATCCACTCTTATTTTATCGGCTATGGATACAATTCCTGAAAATTACAAGCTAATTGATTTAAGAAGTAAGGGTTATTTGTTGCATCCATTTTTTAAATTATTAAAACTTATACAAATTCTAGAAAATGTTATTGTCGAAGCTGTTCAAAATAATAACATTAATTCAAACATCATTTTCCAAGTGACGGATGCTCTCGAACAAACGTCCCCTTTTCTTCCGTTAGTTAGATGTGAAGATCATAATACGTTACTAACGCGTCGAATTATAATCTTTTTTATTACAAGAATGCAATTCATTTGCAAACAAGCTAACAAAAATAATAATGAGCAAGAAATGACAAAAGAAAAGAGAAAAGCAGCTAAGCTGGTTAATACTGTACAACACGAAAAAACATCTAATAAAAGTTCAATAAAAAGAAGTGCATCTCATGCTAAGTTTGACAATAAACTATTGAAGTTGTTATGTACTGTTGTACTGAGGGCTGCTGCCCACCACGTTTATCCACGGTACGAGTGCTTCGCGGTACGTGGCCGAGAAATGGATTTTCTCTTCCTTAGGAATGAATTAAAAGAGGCACTTTGTTATTGTTAAGGAACACTTTAATGCGGAGATTACACAAAGAATGCCACTTGTCTGGCAATAAAGGAACTGAGCCTTTTACAAAAACGTCGTGGTACGTGTTTATCCAACGACTTGATACAGAGTAATAATGTCCGATCGACCATGATGTAAGAATACCAGGTGTTCTGTTCCCATGGATGCGCAGTCGTTCAATTAATGGCCGCTCTTGGGCCAATCAGAAATTTGCCTCAAATCTGAAAAAACAATATGGCTACTCTCATAAACTGTGTGTTTTGGTGTTTTGTTTTACCTGCGTGATCACTGCGTTTATCTTTGATGATCAACGTGTGTAGAAAGTAAGTACCGTAAGATTAAAATATAATTCGTTTACAAAGTAAATTATCTCAAAAGGAGTTTGAGATATTATTTCGTGCTATGCTTGCTGTGCAACATTGTAATCACCACAGCAAGCAGATAACAGATTCGAACATTTTCTTAATTTTGTATGTCACTAGTTTATATTTTTGCAGTAAGTACAAGATTGTGTGTGTATTATAATTATTTATATCTATGTAATATACACAATATACACATGTAATATATATATAATATACACACATTTATATATATACATATTTGTTTCTGTTTGCAGAACACAATGCCATCGTGCTGTGTACCACACTGCAAAAGTCGATCATATTGTTCAGATAAAAAAGAAATAACATTTTATAGATTCCCAAAAGAAGATAGCATTCGTCAAAAATGGTTGAATTCTTGTCAAAGAACAGAAGAAAGCATAAAAATTGATTTTGGTATGTTGATATAACATAACCCATAAAAAAACCTTTTTTTAAAAAAAGAAAAAAACATACGCCAAGTGCATATAAAAGATACTGAACTTCTTGATCAAAAACAGATATGAGATAAATATAATTGACCAAGTGTATTCTTCATTACGCCAGTCACATAAGACAGACCGAAAGTGACTATAATTGTCAACTGGATTATAGTGAAGAAAAAACTTGGCGTGCCCGGGTCGCATTAATTGTAAACAGTATTCAGTGAAAACATTATTTCAACATAGTATTTGCATTATAAATTAAAATATAAAAATAACAGATGTATGTATATAGATATATGTATAATTTATACGTATAATATACACGTATAATATAGTGATATAATTAGTATCATCATTCACTATATAGTGATATAATTTGTGGGACATGAAAATATATTCACAACTAAGTATTATAATATGTTCAGTAAGCAATTATTAACATCTTTTCTTTGTTGAATTGTTTTCGCATATATTGTGTATACTGCAGAATATTGCGATAGAACCAAGGTTCTAGAATATTGCGTTTTAATGCGACCCGGGCACGCCAAGTTTTTTCTTCACTATAATCCAGTTGACAATTATAGTCACTTTCGGTCTGTCTTATGTGACTGGCGTAATGAAGAATACACTTGGTCAATTATATTTATCTCATATCTGTTTTTGATCAAGAAGTTCAGTATCTTTTATATGCACTTGGCGTATGTTTTTTTCTTTTTTTAAAAAAAGGTTTTTTATGGGATTTCACTGCTTTTTGTTAATTATGAAAACGTGATAATAATGTAGGAAATTTAAATCCTCTAAAAATAAATACAGATTCTGTTTCTAAAATAGTTATTTTGTAAATTTCTATTTATTTAATATTAAAGATGTACTCGTATTGTATTTATTGACACTTAATTATACTTAAGTTTATTTGTACTTAATTTAGATTTGTTCTAAGAAAAATATATACGCGCTCTTTGCATTTCGTGGCCACTTACATACTTCAACTTTTAAATCATTTATGGATGTCCATTTTGTACCTTTAGCTCGCAATAAATTTGTGTAATGTCCTTCGTCTATATTTTTACCATGATGAAGAATCGCACTATTAACTTTATAAATATTATCACCGATACAAATTTTTGACGAAGGTATGGATTTAATATTAAGATTTGTAATCTTTATAACTTCTTCATTATTAACTTTAAATAATAATAATTGAATAATAAGTACACGTTTGGTCGTTGTTATACTAGTCTTTTCAAGTAAAGCAGTTGAATTACAATTACATGTATGTGTCACACGTACGATTGAAAAATACATGTATGTGTCACACGTACGTCTGAACATAACTGAAACGTACCCTTTTCGGGACTCGGTCTCTAGATCTCGGTATCGGCTGCACCAATTTTATTCGGACTGGTCGCAATCGAAAGATACCGATGACATTATATAATAAAAGTGTTTTTAGATTTTTGATTGTGCTTTTAAATTCTGAGTAATTTTAATCTAAAGTTTCAAGATGTGAAAACTCGAGATAAAGCTAGTGGTAGCGTCGTGAATTTGACATCGACATGAACATATACACGCATCAAGTATCATGTCATCATGTCAAACGGTTATATTTTTATTTTATGCACTTGGCGTCGCGACGCTACCGCGTCGCTTGATAACATTACAAAATAAAATCAGTTTTTTTTTTCTAGCAACAGTTTGTAGTCTTCATTTTGATGATGATTGCTTTTATATACAAAACACACAGTCAGCAAAAGAAATACGACGACTGAAAGTAAGTTCTATTCCTACCAAAATGTTAATTCTGGGAAACACAAGAAAAAAAAGGACATGCAATAGTCATGTGAAAATCACAAACAAGAGATTGAAAATACCGTGAGTAAAGCATCTAAGATCCAGTTCTTTATTTATATAAAGTATAATTTTTATTTTTATGTTATTTACAGAGGCGTTCCTTCCTACTCTGATCTCTTGCAATTTAATGAAAGAGAAGGTATTTATGTAAGAAATGAAACACAAGAAGTAAAAGAGACTTCCATAAGAAATGAAAGAGAAGGAGAAGGGATAGAGAAAGAAGCTTGTCCATTAACAGGCGAAAAAGAAGTACCGTGAGTAATAGCACCTAAGATCCAGTTCTTTATTTATATAAAGTATAATTTTTATTTTTATGTTATTTACAGAGGCGTTCCTTCCTACTCTGATCTCTTGCAATTTAATGAAAGAGAAGGTATTTATGTAAGAAATGAAACACAAGAAGTAAAAGAGACTTCCATAAGAAATGAAAGAGAAGGAGAAGGGATAGAGAAAGAAGCTTGTCCATTAACAGGCGAAAAAGAAGTACCGTGAGTAATAGCACCTAAGATCCAGTTCTTTATTTATATAAAGTATAATTTTTATTTTTATGTTATTTACAGAGGCGTTCCTTCCTACTCTGATCTCTTGCAATTTAATGAAAGAGAAGGTATTTGTGTAAGAAATGAAACACAAGAAGTAAAAGAGACTTCCATAAGAAATGAAAGAGAAGGAGAAGGGAAAGAGAAAGAAGCTTGTCCATTATCAAGCGAAAAAGAAAACCATAATTGTGTGATAGAAATGTATGTATGATATGTAAATGCTTGTGTAATTAATATTGAATATTATACTTAGATCGGAATCCATAGTCCATTCTTAAGCCGGTATTCATAGTCAGTTCTTATATTCAAGACCGTCTTAAGTTCAGTCTTGAGGAGTTACGAACCAATCGCCGCTTTAGCATCTTAAGACATTACTTAAGACAGTCTTAAAATAAGAACCGACTCTGAATACCGGCCTCTGATTGGTTCGTGATGTCTTAAGCAATAGCTTAAGAACATTTCTAGTCTTGAGCAACATCTACGGATTTCGCCCTTATTATATTTTGTGTAGTTCATAATATTTTACTTGAAATTTATTCAACGACGACCCTCTTATTGTATATTATACTTAACGTTTTTAGAAACCAAAATGACAATGAGGAAAATGTTTTTTTAAATACATTATTGGAACTATTCATAAAGTCTGAAGAAAAGAATAAGAAATTTTTAAAAGAAAATCGGGAATTATTGAAAATAAATCAGCAACTAAACGAACAAGTACAAACATTACAAACAAGCGTAATACAACATGAGGAAATACAAACAAATTTACGAAAGGAAGCTAACACTGCCATCAATGCTTTATCAAAAATATGTACGCCAGGACAAATAAGACGTTTAACGTCACCGCATAACGTCCGTACAAAATGGTCATCGGAAGATATAGTATCTGCTATAGCTCTGCGATCTTTGAGTCCGAAAGCATATAGATATCTTCGGAATGTGAAAAAGGTTCCTTTACCTTGTGAAACAACATTGTACGATTGGATTGAAGTCTTTATTTTGGCACCTGGTATTTTAAAAGATGTCTTAAAAATAATGGTTGATATAGGAAATGATCTTACCACAGTGGAAAAATTAACAGTCATTACTTTCGATGAAATATATATAAGTAATAAATTGGATTTGGCACGAAAGGAACAAAAAATTTACGGATCGTACAAAACATGCCAGTTCGTAATGGCCAGAGGATTATTCAAAAAGTGGAAACAGCCGATATATTATGATTTTGATAAGTCAATGTCCCGTAAAATTTTATTTCTTATACTGCAACATTTACATCAAATTGGTTATATTGTCGTAGCTATTACATGTGATATGGGTCCTACAAATATGAGATTGTGGAAAAATTTAAATATTGGTATTAATAATCATTGCAACGAAATGAGTACAGAAAAACAATGTTTTATTACACATCCTCAGGACAATTCATTAAAAATATTTTTTTATGCAGACGTTCCTCATTTGCTAAAATTAGCAAGAAACAATTTATTCGATTCGGGATTTTATGTACAAGATAATGTTGTGGATAAAAAATGTTTGGAAGAATTATTAAAACTAAACGCAAATGATTTAAAAATTGCTCATAAAATAAGTAAAAAACACCTTGACGTAAAAGGGTCGCAAAGGCAAAATGTAAAACTGGCAGCTCAAATATTTTTAAATCAAAATGCATCAGCTATTCGATGGTGCGAAAGTAATAATTTTTTACACTCTGTCAACTGGGAACATACCGCAGATATTTTAAAATTATTCAACGATTGGTTCGATTTGTTTAATACTTCATTGAAATATGGTCATCACAATGGATTGCACGCTTACGGGACGAATTTGGACGCTCAAAATGAAATAATCAATAAAATGAATGCATATATTATACAAATTCGGGTTGGAAAAAAGACATGTCTCTTACTGTGCAACAAGTCTTTGCAAGAAATGTTTCTATACATTAAAAATAAGTACTCATCCGAAGAATTTGAGATAAAGTACATACTTACAAGACGATTAAATCAAGATCTACTGGAAAATTTATTTTCATATATAAGAGCAATGGGAGCGGGATACGATCATCCGACACCTGTGGAGTTACGAAACCGTTTAAAATGGTATATATTAGGCAAGCATTCCGGGCATGTTCTTTCGTCAGCTAATATCGAAGAAGATTGCGACTCGTCAATGTTTGTTGATATTGAAAAAGTACGTTCCACTGATGAAACTGTTTCTGATTATCTGTGGAAAGATGAAGATATTTTTGAGGAAGAAATGCTTATAAATTTTCCAACAATAAAAGAAAGATGTATAAATGAAATGAAAGAAATAGAAGAGCATAGTATACGAGAAGAAAGCGGAAAAGGTAAAATAAAAAGTAAAATGGTAAAATGTGTAACTTTTAATATACAATAACATACATCTTATAGTTTTTTATTTTATCAATTTTTTTACAATTGACACAGGTGGGCAATGAGGGTTAACGGAATGTTCCTGTATTACATAACGATTTATTAACACATTTATTTTTTATTTCTAGTGTTAAATTTAAGCACTTATGAGCCCACTCCACAGGAATCGAAATTGATTGATGAATTTGAGCAAGTAATAGTTACTGAAAAGATAGAAAAAAATGCCCTAATATATATCGCTGGATACGTTGCACATAGATTTAGACATCAATTTACTGAGTTAGGAATTCCCACCAAAGATCTTCCTAATCCACCATCTAATGATTGGCTTTGTATGTTTTCACGAGGGAATTGTATCTATCCTTCGGAAAGTTTTAAAGAAGCAGCTTTTATCATGGAAAAAGAATTTAAAAAATTTCATGGAAACTTTTTTAATAAAGGTTTAAAAATATTTGACAGGTTAACAGAAATTGTATGTACAAAAACAAACAATAACTTTACAAAACAAGTTATCGCTTGTTTAGTGCGAACTAGAACATACATCAGGTTAAGGAAAAAAAATAAAGAAATTGAATGTAATAACGCAATAAGAACAAAAAATAGGAAGTTATATAAGATGTGTAATAAAGAAAATGTTAAATATTAAATAATATTAAATGTTAATGTTTAATATTAATGTTTAATATTAAATGTTAAATATTTGTAAAAAAAAACTCCGCACACATATGCACAAATATATTTATATATATGTATATATATATATCTAACTTTATGTTTATTTGTATGATGTTAATTGTTGCCAATCAAATTGTCGGTTCTGGGATATCATGCAATATGAGTATCCGCTAGTTATTTTATTCCAATGATGACACACATCACAAGTTTGAAATTTGATATATTTGCTCACAAATAAGGCATACAAAATTATGTATTAATGTACGCAACTTAGGATGATGTTCATCCTTCAGAGAACGAGAAAATTCTGGCGCCAACAAAAACCGACGCTACCCAATACACCTCAGCGCCAATACAACAGCGCCATACAACAAGCGCCACACTAGATCTTGCTTGGGAAGCTGAACGCAGGGGCGTGCGCTAAAGAGGTGGCAATCGCAAATTCAAAAAACTTAGAATCCCTAACATTATTTGATCATCCTTTTTCATATCGTTCATAACTGCATTCTTTTTTCCAATACTTATTTATTTTTATCAGCTTAAATTTGCATTTAAAATTTTATTATACAACTAATTTTATTTTGTATTGTTTTTAATAACAATAGTTTGTTTAATAACAATAGTAGGCTAGCTCTTTTACAATCCTTGCTTTTAAATATTAAAATTTACATATTTTATATTAGTCATAGAAAATTTCCATTTTCATCTAAAAAACCTGAAAAAGTTAAGATATTAAAATTAATTTTCTGTGGCAACCTTTATCTATACATTATCTGTATCTACACATACTTATACCTATATCTACTTACCTGTACTTACCTACATGTTTCTTCATTTAAATCTATACTTACCTATATTTACCTATATTTAGTTAGCATTTCTTTTTTGTACCATAAATTTTTATTAGCTCTGGAGCTTTGTAGATTATACTCTTTCATATTTTGAAATTTATTTATATTTTTACTACATATTTCCATTAATACTGTTTGAATTCCGCGCTAATTTTGAGGCAAAATTCTTATTGGCTCTTTCTATATTCAGTCGCCATTATGTGCAACGGAACACCTGGTATTCTTACATCATGCGATCGACAAGACGATCGATGATGATGCGCGAGCGCCCCGATAGCAGCGCCTGAACGGGTAGGAACTACAAAAAAAACTAGCGCCGCGAACGCGAGCTCCGCGGACAATGTAAACGCGCGAAATTAAGATTATGATTTATCCAACAGAAGTTAGATAATCCGCAAAGAGAAATTTTAAAACAATTACAAAACACATAATCAAACTTTAAAAGATATATGTTACTAAAACATTTTTTATTGTTGTATACATGTACAAATTATATATCGATTGTTGCATGAATAAAAATAAAAATAAAAGACCCAATAAGTTTCAACCTTTGAAAATTAACCCCAAAAATTTGAACCTTTCTAAATTAAAATGATTATCTAATAATGTAACCTAATAATTTAAACCTTTAATACTTTAAATGATATTATCTAATACAATATATTATCACGAAAAGTAACTGATATATTACTAAATGTGCCAGTTCAAAATGAACATACATTATGTATATTTTCTATGTTAAATATGTACCACGAAAAGTAAATGACAGATTAGTCAAGGTACAAATTCAAAATGAACATACCTAAATATAAGTAAAACAGATTACAATCTGCATATTACAGTTTTCTAGAAAATAACTGCAATGAACATATATAAAGTATATTTTCTATGTTGAATATGAACCACGAAAAGTAACTAATAGATCATTCAAGATGCAAATTCAAAATGAACATACATACATATAAGTAAAACAGATTACAATTTGCATATTACAGTTTTCTAAAAAATTTCTGCAATTTGTTATTCTTAGTGCACAAAATATAAAAGTCG